GTAGCTTAAGCATGATTGTTCGTAGTTAAAGTGATTAATTACCCGCCTGGCACTTAGTTAAGAGGTTTTATTCCCTCCCTAAATTCAGGGGAAAATCCCTACCTGGGGAAACAACCTTTCTCAGAGAGGCGACCTTGGTTAAAACACAGCGCCAAGAAGGTGAGCAAACATATTAAGAACAGTATGCCATATATGCCAGGTCCCTTGAAACAGCAAGGGTAGACTGGTTCCCGGAAGCTTTTAAAATGACGAATATCAGTAAGAAAGCAATAAAAACAGTAATGTTCTCAGCATGAGAAACTGTCCCAGAAATTCCATTCAGTGAAATATGGTTAAAGATGGACCTTTCTCCTACGTTCATCTCTCATCCTCACAGTGGTGTGTACAATACATGGATAAACTGGAAAATATTTCAATGTTCGGAAAAGTATTGATATACTTATTGACATTTTCAGAAAGAACCCCGGTGCATAGGATATATCTGTTTAAGAGTTCACATTGCTTTTCCATCACCTCATATATATAATATATCTCATCTCACACTGACACCCTAGTGACGTCTATGCTATCACAATTTAAATCTCCCATACTGATTTTACGACCAATTCTTACAAAGTTACATCTGTAAGACTGGAAGCCAATATTGAGAGTTTACCAAAATATGGTAAATCTAAGAACTGGAAGCAAATGAGAACCACTCTGTAGGAAAGCACCCCTCCTAGCAGCCAGGCTAAGAAGAGCCATCATTAATGGTAAACCCCAATGGCGGAAACTCTTCCTCACCAGTTCTGAATCCACTTCCAGATGTGCCACGGCCTTCTGTTGATGTTGTAGTCTCTGAAGGAAGAAAATGGTGAAGGGTGAGGAATGCGGATTTGTGATATGAGAGAAGAATTATGTTGATATTGTATCAGTGGAGACATAATGATATTGGGTTTAAATGTGGAGATTTCCTCTTGTGAAGCTATCTGTGTGGGAACACCCAGATATAATGGTTTTCCCAGTGAATTCTGCGTAGGACTTAAAAATGAGAAAGATAAAGCCATCAACACAGCATTAGCTCCCTCTTCAGTACTGAAGCAGCTGTGTGTCCTTGAAAGACCAGAAGACCTATCCTTAGGACCTCTGTTTCAGAGGGAACATAACTGTCCATATCTTTCCACAATGTCCTTCTCTGCCCCACCTATGGATCATTGTCGATACTGGAGTTCCCTTTTCCAAGATCCTAGTGAAAGAGAAAGGAGGTCTTATGTCACCCTCACCTGTTCCACTTCCAGTCCCTGGACTCCCAGTTGTGGCAGAGGTGCCTAAAGGAAGAAAAAGGCAGATGATGCTTCTTCTTTGTAAAAGTTCGTCATTAATTACCTGGGCTTTGGACTAAGAAGCTTACCTCCTGGCAATCTTCCCTGGGTAGCCTTACTGCCTCCTGTGGAAGTTGTGGCTTCTAAGAGAAGGGAAAAAGAGAAAAAACTGTTGTTATTCCACCATCTTCTACAGAAGTCCTGGCCCCCAAAATAGAGGAAAAGAGGATAGTCATCATTGAAAATTATTTGAGGACCACAGAAATGTAAGGTAGTTCTGCTACACAGGATAATAATAGAGGAGAAATCTCATCTGAAAGATTCCCTGCCACCTTGTTGACTCACCAGTGTTGGAACTGCCAGGTGCAACAGTTGTGCCAACAGCGGGCCCAGTGGTGCCTGAAACACAAAAGGTCTGAGATCTCCAATGGTGCCTCTCGGTGACTCCTATACAGCTCTTAAAGAGCTGCCTCTAGAAAGAATCTAAGTGTATCTTTGTTAAATCAAGGAGCCCTTTCACTACTTTCAGCTGAGGTGACAATAATATACCTTTCCTATAATCCGTATCACTAAGGAAGTAGTAAAAACTGCAATATCTCCAGTGTAAGGCACTCTGTACACACATTCCACTCACTTAAAATGAAGAAGAAAGCTGGGTTTCTCCCAGGCTCACCTGTCACACTCCCAGTTGCTTGGCCTGGTGGCAATGCAGTGGCGCCTAATGTGAGAGGAAAACCAGAAAACTATTTGAAGGTGCCAAAAAATACTGACTATCCTTACTGCACTTTTAAGCAAGCGGACCTATATGTAGCACAGGCTTAAGAGTTCACATTGCTTTCTCTTCTACACACATATAGAATATTTCTCGGGTCTTCTATCAACTTAGTGATGCATATGCCATCAAAGAGGAAACCTCTTACAGGGATTTCACCAATAGCCATTCGTAAGGCAGTTACAGCTGTGAGGCATGAGCAGGCATTGACAGTTTATTGCTAAGCGGACCTATATGTAGCACAGGCTTAAGAGTTCACATTGCTTTCTCTTCTACACACATATAGAATATTTCTCGGGTCTTCTATCAACTTAGTGATGCATATGCCATCAAAGAGGAAACCTCTTACAGGGATTTCACCAATAGCCATTCGTAAGGCAGTTATAGCTGTGAGGCATGCCAGGCATTGACAGTTTATTGCTACTATGTTCAATCAAAGAAAATACTGAGTAAATACAAACAACTCTGCAGGAAAGAACACCTCCAAAATGGGAGCTTGTGGAGAGTCCTAATTAACAGTAAACCCCAACTGTGAGGTACTCATTCTCACCTGGTCTGGATCCCGTTTCTGGAGTGCCAGCTGAAGGAAGAAATGAGGAATGGAGAGGTCAGAGGATTTGGGATATTAGGGAAAAAATTACTGACATATTAGGTCAGAACAAGAATACTAACTACAGTATGGGGTTAACTATGCAGATTGCTTCTTGTTATCCTACCTATGTGGGAACTCCGAGGTTTAATAGTTGGCCTAGAGACTTTCCCTGGATAGGACTGTTTAAGAGTTCTCATTGTTTTGGCTCCTTCCCAGACACATAATATTTCTCAGCTACTCCTAACATCTCAGTGCTGGGTATGCCACCACAGGATAAACTTCTCCTATTGATTCTACCACCAGCCCCTCTGTAGAATGTTACTGTGGGAAACAGTTTATTGTCATCACTCTCTGATAAACATAGACAGAGAACCCCCCGCCCCCCCAAAGGCTGGGTGCCTTTGAAGCCCTAGCAGAGGTCTGAGCTAGGCGCCACCTCTGTTTGTCCAGACAGTGGC